ATATTTATAAATATTTACAGGAAATCATTGTCCTAATTAGCAGTAGCAGCTAATCAAAATATAAAACACACTGCTCTTTACAATGGATGAAAAAAAAAGACTATTAAACAGAATTAAGTACAACGTAATGTTGGTTTCAGCCCTCCAACATAACTCAAGTTTCTCATACGGCCCCAGGACAAAAATAATTGCTCACCCCTAATCTAGATGTCTTCTTCTCAAGTTTGTTACGGGCATTAAGGTGCATTGGTTCTTATTAGAATAAAAGACGAAGTCGTTTTCCCCTCAACTTTAAACAAATTTGTATTTGATTTTAACCCATTAAAAGTCACCTCTGAAATTCCCTAAAAGCTTTTTGAATTTTTGAATTTTTTTTTTAAAGTGTCAAGTTAAAGGTAAAAACTGGAGGAAGTTGTCAGACACCGTCCGGAAACGTTTAAAGGGATCCCCGTTTAGTTGTAACATTAGACTTTATTTGATAAACATTTGATTTATTATAGATCATGGCGCTGTACTTCCTCCTTCTGATGCCTCTCTTTGTACCTTCCTCCTCCTCCTCCTCCTCTCCTGGTGGTCGTATAGCTGCCCAACAGAGGTCAAGGGAGAGATAAAGCAGCCAATCAGATGCTAGTGCAACATAAGTTCAGGGGTCACAGGTCAGCCAACAGCATGAGCAGCGAAGTCAAAACCCAAACCATTCAGTGGCTCTATACTATAAAGATTAACTTTAACTTTTTTGTTAAGAAAATGTCACTAAAATTTGCCTGAAGTATAAAACTCCAGGAAAATGTTTCACCAGTTTTACTAACTTAGATCAGAAAGAAAAAAAATCAATAAGATAAAGGAGGTTTAAATCTAAAGTAAGTGGTTCCAGGCTGACACAGAAGGACTGTTCACCGCGCAGCCACCTGCAGAACCCGGACAGATGATCCTGCCGTGTGTCAGCAGCTTCTGAAATGGATCCAGCACCAAGGCTGAGAGATAAAGGAGGAGAAACAAAGAGTTCACAGAGGTCTCTGATCGGCTCCGCCACACCCCGACCCAACCTACAAAGGTTCAACCGAACTGCTGGGGGCTACGAACGCGCACCGACAGACCCATGCGCACCAATCAGATCCAGTCCGTAACTCGACACCAGAGACAGAAAAGATGGGAGGACATGATGAGGGATGAGGTGTGTGTTCTCTCTGAAGTTGGAGCTAACAGCCAAACCCCCCCTCAGGACTCTTCATTCCAAACTTTCTCTCTCTGTCTCGGTTCTGGTAGCARTTTGGACGTATCAGGTGATGTTTCCATGTTTCGGACCCGCGACTCGTTTCTCTGCGTGGGCCCGCCCGGGACCGGAGTGGAACGGGTTGACGGGTCTTTGATGGATGTGTAGTTGTCTCTTTCACAGAAGATGGGTCAATGACTTCAGCCCCAGATTAGCCGCAGCAGCTGTTGCCCATAAATAACCGAGCCGAAGCGTTTTCACAACCACCTTTTGAGTTTACAGGCAACAAGCTGTTGGACCTCTAATTTCAGACACATTTTAGTGATTTTTTTTTGATAAATCCAGAAATATAATCCATGTGTTAAATGAGGTTTACCTGTAACTTTTGAAGTCATCGGTGGTATTCTGAATCTGTGAAGATGTTGCAGGTTGATGGATGTGTCCAGGAGACACCGCAGTGTTCCCACAAAGGAATGGTTGTGTTTGACTGGTTTTGGGGTCCCAGGTGTGGTTCCCATGAGTGATGCCAGTGCCTCCTCTCTTGCGCCGGGGCAGAGTTCCATGTAACGAGACTGGCTGGTAGGCTGCAGAGGGAACTTCTGATAGGCCGCTGCCCGGGCCTGCAGAGAGGCTGTGGGAAGGAAGCAAAATTTAAAAACCCTGTCAGGTTTTATAGGGGAAATATTACGCAAAATTCACTTTTTACATGTTTTATACTTCAGTTTGGGTCCGTAAATGTTTTGTTAGTGTCAGCAAATGAGCTGTTTCAAAAACCTGCTGATTGTTATGTCATAATCCAGGTAACTTAGTAATGCCTAAAACGAGCCCAGCCCCTCACCTGGTAACCCGAGCAGAGACTCCGCCCACTTTATTACAGGAAGACCACGTTTGTTCTGCTGTTTTAACAACAGTCACGGAGAACAGAGATACGTGGGCTTAGTTTGTGTTTATTTTTGATGGCAATGTCCCTGCGCAATTGCCAAAGAAAGTTGTAGTTTGCGCAAATAATTTCACGATGGACAGTACACAGCTAGCCTGGTAAAAACCAGCCMCTTGTTCTTCGCTTTGCTTCGTACAAAGGGGTCTGGATTCTCGGCTATTGAGAAGCGATTTCTTGCTGGAGGCGTGGCCTCTGTTGAAGTTTAAAACATTTGGATCTGATTTACCCAATCGCCAATGGTTGACTGTGACGTATGTAGCGCTTCAGCTCGACCGCGAAGGAAGCTAAGCTAAGAGGCTAACTGGAAATTGCCGCGACGAAGGACGTCCAAAACGGACGACTCCTCCGATGCGGCCGACAAATACGTCCTTCTTTTTCCCCGAATCGAAGGACAGGTCTGATGGATCCTTCCCGGCCCAGCATATCCCATAATGCATTGCGGCCTGACCGGAGATTTTTTTATGCTAGTAATGGCGGATGAAGCAAGAAAAAAGAATACGTTTTAAATAAAAATATGGTGATATAAAAATTTTTTAAAAATTAGCGGTTGTAATTCTAATACTTTTATCATTTGTATAGATGTGTTTTTAAATGTTATTTTTTCGTCATAAAAAACGCGAAATAAACATGAACCTACAGTGGGTCAATTAGTTCTTCAAATGATACCTTTAAGTTAATTTTATAGTTTTGTGATATTAATAATGCTTAAGTATTGATAATTTTCTAGTTTTGATTTAGGTTTGCTTGTTTAGCATCGTCACAGTTGCTAGGTGACAAGACGTACGCCGGGGTAAGGAGGGGAGGCTAGACCGTCCAAATCCACAGCCTCTTTTTTTCCGGTCTTCCCGGTCTACCAAGGACCCGGCCCGCCGAGACCGGGGAGTCTGGGTCCTCCGGAGGACCCGGCCTGTCGTTTTGGACACAGCCTATGTCTCATCAGCATTATGTCTCCATATTAACTAAACACGTCAAATCTAACTGTGCACGTCACTGAAGAGGTGTTTACTACTTTCAGCGACGGTGAAAACGGGATGTTTTTTTAAACATCAGTCAATATAAGCAGCAGAATCGCCACCCGCGGCTGCAACTAGCTGCTCCAAACATTAGCATGCTAACGCTCATAGCGGTGCAGCAAGGAAATATTCCCTTGCTGCACCGCTGCAAATATTAATATTTTGTTTCCCTCGGGAAACAAAAGTTCACTGGCGGCCGCGACGAAACGTTCCGCTATTTAAACCGGAATGTCCGGTATTCAAAAAAATTCATATCATAACAAAAATAAAAACCGGTATTAGGTACAAAATGGTATACYGCCCAGCACTACTGTAAACAACCCTACTGAGAAGTACCGAGCCAAATGAGACGACAGTAAATGAGAGCTGCAGGCTTTGTGAGACAAATTTATTTTAACTTGGAAGCCTTACAGCAGGGGTGTCAAACTCCAGTCCTCGAGGGCCGCTATCCTGCATGTTTTAGAGGTTTTCTTGCTCCAACACACCTGATTTTGATCGCTGGGTGATTAACAGGCTTCTGCCCAATTTGAAGAGTTAATTCAATCACTGAATCAGGTGTGTTGGAGCTGGAAAACCTCTAAAACATGCAGGATAGCGGCCCTCGAGGACTGGAGTTTGACACCCCTGCCTTACAGTATCAACACAGACCACAGACTGGCTTCATGCACTTCCTCCGCTGCCATTGATAAACTACAAGTAGACACTGCGCAGAAAATCAACGTCGTTCAAAACTCCTCCTTCTGTTTGCTGATTGGCCCAGGTAAAATTCTACCAAAGAAATCCTTGTCTATGGGAGAAATCCAAGGGAAACTAGCACTGAGGGGAGCTACATAGGAAGGCWAGGGCCAGGCTAGTACACAGCAGTAGGATTTACCCAAGGACTTTCAACTGAACGAGAGTTCTGTCCCTATTGTTCCTCACAAATCTGCAGATGATGGTGATATACGTCTTGTGAGTTTAGTGTTGCTGTTCGATATGAACATGATTTGTCATTTAGCACAAACTAATGCTGAACAATTGCGCGTGGCCATGATCTACGACCAAGGAGGCGAGCACCTTTGAGACCCTGCAGTCTGGAGACTCCCATGTCTTGTCTCATGACATGGGAGCATCTAGGCTGTAGCCTCACTGTTTGGCTTTCACAACACCGGTCTCTGGAAGCTGCGTTTGCCTCCCTGGGTACCAGTCTGTTGCTAACAAGCCCTCGCCCGGGGTGGACGCATGGCGCACAACCCGTCATCACTATGCTGGCTTCAGAAAGTGGCGATGGATGCGAATTGATCTCTCCAGCACCAAGGTGTCTGACTTCGGACAGCTACCAAGCCTTCACCTGGCGTGGCCCGTCTACCGTTGTACAATGGGGACCTTCAATCATGATGTAATGCATATCATTCGCATACATTATCTGCCGCGCTCGCAAATGATCTCCCAATCTGAGTGGATTCTACGGAGATTCATTGTTAATACCGTAACAGATAAAGACTTTTCTTGAGCAAATTTTGAGACATCCGACTTCAGGAATCACAGGAAAGCTCAGTTGAAATGTTGTCTGGAGGTCGAGGTCTTCGACGGACTTGGAAAGCGAGTGGATTTGTTAAGAAAGGTTGGTGTTTTTACCGTGTCTTACTGATCTTAGCTTGCTGTATTTCTCGTGTGTCTATGGGATTATTTTTAATCACTCAAGTCACCGCTTCTGCATCGTTTAAAGAAACTTAATGGTGATGTTTAAAATTTATGTAAAGAAAACATTATCACTATATTCTGGACTGACTGCAGCACAGCCCTGGAATAGAGCGCTGTATATGACCGAGGCTAGGAGTAAAGCTAGCAGAAGCAGGAGGCTGCAGTAAAAATAATAAGGTTTAATGTACCTGTTTATCGACAGGAAGTGCAAGGATAGGATCCGGGTGGTCCAGTGTTGGTCTTTTACCACTGATTAAATCTTTAAAGCAGACATTAAGTTCATGATTTTTTCTGGTCAAATTTATTTCGTCCCATCGCTTGAACCCATCTGTTAGTCTGCACCTTAGGCTGGGAAAAGCGAACAAATACTTGTTCCATGTGAGGATGATGGCTGTCTCCCGAGTCACTGTTGCGAGTACTGTACCACAATGTTTTGTGGTCTTCCCGGTAAAGTTTCATGCTGTTTTCCTGAATTTATTGAAGTTTAAACTGAGCTAAACCGGCGCAGCTCCATTGAAATCGATGGAGCTGCTACGAGACTTTGTACGAGCATCAGTGTCGGGCGGTAAAGAGTCACGTGACTTGCGTTCTAAAAATAGCCTGAGTGAAGGCCTCCATTATGTATCTACTTGTACTAGCAGCCATTTTCACGAATCTGAAGTGCTAACATAAACGTTGTTTGAAGGGCGGAGCTAACGTAAACAAAAGGTTGGGAGGACGTTGCCAACAGCAGCTTATTGGCATGAACAGCTCATTATGAAAGGAGGTCAGAACAGGCAGAACTGACCAAGTGAAATCTCATTATCTGAAAATGATTTTGTGTATTAAATCTGATGAACATGTTTTGTATCGCCCACAGATACAGTATATCCTATATTGTTCAAGGAATCATAAGTGATCTTTAAATTAGGAGAAGAAATGAAACTGACCCAGAGTTGGAGCTGAGGAGGTCCATGGAGGCGGTGAGAGAGGCCTGAAGCTTCCTGGTGGGGGAGATGTTGGGGGTACCAGGGGAGGTGCTGTGGACTCCAGGGTGGGCGGCACCTCCTCCTAAGGCGTGGTGGGCATGAAGTGACCTGGGCAGACTGGCAAAACGCCCCTCAGCCATCATCCTTAACTCTGGAAGAACAAAAACATTCTCAATGAGAAAAATCTTGTCTGGTTCTTTGAACATTAATCCTCAACATAAGACCTCATATTCCTTAAAGTCAGATTCCAGTTCAAAACATTAAACATTATTTTTACCCATGGGGTAAATCTCTCATCAGATGATACAGAGCCCACAGACAGAAATACACAGCGATGAAGAAGACAGATAGCTTAGCAGGGCTAGAAAAAACACTGGACAGGTTCTTGATAAATTCCCCTGCTGTGTGAGAATGACTGGACAGCTCTATCTGCTGTGAGTCACTCGCCCTGCAGCTGTTAGTCACTCCCAAACAACTAAAATATCAGGAGAAGAGGGCTGTGCTGGCAGGCAGGGTTCTACTGATGATCCTTGTATCTAATGTCATCAAACCCAATCTGACCTCAACATATCTGCTGCTTTTTCTTGTTGTCTGAACGAGCTGATTGTGACCGGAGGTTAGAGACAACATGCTCCTCAGACCAACGGCATGTTTCATTCTTGTTTAGTTTTGTTTCGTTTGTGAGTACTGTTGCTAAAATATCTCAAGAACCCATGGATGGTAAGAAGAATTTTGATGAAACTCTCAGAAAGAGACCATCGTTTGGATGTCTTCAAAAGGTTAACTTTCAGGTGATTGCACTTTCAAGTTAGTAGTGACACACAMAAAAAAAACATTATTTATCGTTATTCAAGCAGACAAGTCCCATTGAGACCTCAGATGTCTTTTTCAAGGGAGGCCTGGGGACAACCTGTTGTACATGTTTTTGTGTTGTGGGGAGCACCTGGAGAAAACCCACACAAGCTTGAGGAGAACATGCACACTCCGCACAGAAAGAGCCCAGGTCCGAACCAGGGATCGAACCCAGGACCTTCTTGCTGTGGGGTGTTGGTGCTAACCACTGAACTGTCGTGCTGCTCTGTCAGATTGTCTGATTATTATTTCATTATTTACTAGAATGAAGCTTCCTCTGCATTATTAGTCGCCTCAATTAACAAAGTTGTAAAATTTTTTACAAATGCAGCATTAGTTTGTACTATCTATCTATCTATCTATCTATCTATCTATCTATCTATCTATCTATCTATCTATCTATCTATCTATCTATCTATCTATCTATCTATCTA